CCGGTTCCCGTGCAGCAGCAGCCGGTCCAGGCTGCCCAGGCCGCGGAACACGTGCTCCGTGAGCAGCCGCAGGCGGTTGCCGTGGAGGAAGAGGTGGCTCAGGTTGGCCAGGTCCGCGAACAGGTCATCCTGGAGGGGGCAGAGGAGGAGAGCCGGTCCTGAGGCCGGGAGGGGCGCGCCTCGGCCGGGCCTGGGGAGGGAAGGGGAGCGCGGGGCAGGATGGAGAGGGGCTGGCCATTGGAGCCTGAGTCTGGGATTCGAATTCTGCCGCCTCTGACCTTTCTGCGGTGGGCAAAGCAGGATCGTGGAGTCACTGGTGCTTACATGTCAGGGTATATAGGGCCGGGCGTGGTGGCTCACGCCTCGAGTCCCAGCACTTTGGGAGGCCGGGGTGAGAGGACTGCCTGAGCCCAAGGGTTCGAGACCAGCCCGGGCAACTTGGCGAGACCTCGTCTCTACAATAAATTAAAAAAAATTGGCCGGTCGTGGTAGCGCGCGCCCGTAGTTCTGGCTACTTGGAAGGCTGAGCCCAGCAGGTCGACGCTAAGGTGGCCGTGAGCATGCCACTGCACTCCAGCCTGGGCGACAGATTGAGACTCTGATTCAAAAAAAAAAGGGGGGATGGGTATAGCAGAAGCTCTTGCTGACACACCGAGCAGGTCTGGGGCAGGGCCTGAGAATCTGCATGCCTTTATGAGTTAACAGGTGAGGCTGCTGGAAGACCACACTTTGAGAATGAGAATCTCTGGTTTGGTTAAGTGTGCAGACTGGGAAGCCAGCCTTTCTGAATTCTGGATCTGTTGTTAACTGTGCCACCAGGGACAAGTCACTTGGGATCTCCATGACTCAGTTCCCTCATCTGTAAAATGGGGGTTTAAATGAAGCGACATGTATTAAGGGGCACAGGGACCAGGTGTGGTGGCGCACACCTGAAATCCCAGCACTTTGGAATGCTGAGGCAGGAGGATCACTTGAGCCCAGGAGTTGGAGACCAGCCTGGGCAACATAGCGACATCTTGTCTCAACAAAAATAAAAAATAAATAAAAAATTAACCAGGTGGAGTCGCATGCACCTGCGGTCTCAGCTACTTGTGAAGCTGAGGCAGAAGGATTGCCTGAGCTCAGGAGGTCCAGGCTGCTGTGAGCCATGATCGGGCCACTGCACTTCAGCCTGGGTGACAGAGACCGTGTCAAAAAAAAAAAAAAAAAAGGAAGTGGGCATAGGACAAGGTTTCCACGTGGTAGGCGTTCTATAAGTTAGCCGTTACTGTCACCCTGGCCAAGTGAGTCACTTCTTTGTGTCTGTTTCCTCATCTATAAAATGGAGATGCACGAACCTACTTCATGGCTTTGTTCTGAGGCTTGAAAAAGACAGTTCACATAAAGATCATCGGAGGGAAGTGCTGGGCACGTGCCTGGCACACAGGGATTCAGTCCAATGACAAAGCCCACAGGCTCGGCAGTTAGAGCCCTGGTTCGAAATCCAGCTTGCCTTTTTCCCGGCTGCGTTATTTTGGGCAAGTTATTTAACCTCATGGAGTCGGAGATTTTTCAGTATGTGTAACATTACTCAACACGTCTAACCCCCTCAGCAAGCTAAATGAGGACTGGTGCCGCAGTGCTGTTAACCTGGCAGGTGCATAGTCAGCCGTCAGTAAATGGTGCTTATTATGACAATAGGGGGCTGGTTAGAATGTGGTCCGATCCCTTTTCTCTAAGAGGATCTCTTGACCAGGCGCAGTGGCTCACACCTGTAATCTCAGCACTTTGGGAGGCTGAGACAGGAGGATCGCTTGAACCCAGGAGTTCGAGACCAGCCCAGACAATATAGTGAGACTCTGTCTCTACGAAAAACACAAAAATTAGCCGGGCATGGTGGCATGTGCCTGTAGTCTCAGCTACTCGGGAGGCTGAGGCAGGAGGATCAACTGAACCCAGGAGGTCTGCCTGGGCAACAGAGTGAGACCCACTTAAAAAAAAAGAAAAGCTCCCTGGAGATCAAAGTTCTACTACTAGACTGGGTATTGAGGGACCAGGCATCAGCTCCACACCCCAGAGGAAGGGGAGGAAGGGAGGGAAGCCATTGCTGCCACTGGATGTGATGTCTTCTTGCATTACTACCTTAGAGGGGCTGACCCACCCACCTGGGGCTGAGGAGTCACCAAATCAGGCCATGTTAATGCTGGAAAGACCTTGGAACTAAAGTTCAGAATGAGCAGGGGTGGAGCTGGGCCTGGTGGCTGATGTCTGTAACCCTAGTACTTTGGGGGTTGGAGGCAAGAGGATTGCCTGAGTCCACAAGTTCGAGACCTCATCTCGACAGTAATTCAAAACATTAGCCGGGTGTGGTGGCACTCGCCTATGGTTTCAGCTACTTGGAAGGCTGAGGCAGAAGGGTCGCCTAAGCCCAAGAGGTTGAGGCTGCAATGGCCATAAGTGTGCCACTGCACTCTAGCCTGGGTGACAGAGTGAGACTCTGTCTCAAAAACAACAACAACAAAGAATGAATGGGTAGGTATGGTCCACGGGACTGGTGGACTCTGTATTTTTGTTTTGTTTTTTAAGTCAGAGTCTCACTCTGTCACCCAGGCTGGAATGCAGTGGCATGCTCACAGCCACCGCAGCCTCCACCTGCTGGGCTCAAGCAATCTTTCCCCCTCAGCCTTCCAAGTAGCTGGAACTACAGGCACGTACCACCATGCCCAGTTAATTTTTTTTTTTTTTTTTTTTTTTTGGTTCGGTCTCACTCTGTGGTCCAGGCTTGAGTGCAGTGGAACGCTCACGGCTACCACAGCCTCGACTTACTAGGCTCAGGCGATCCTTCCAGCTTAGCCTTCCAAGTAGCTGGAACTACAGGTGCACACCAACACCACACACAGCTAATTTTTTTATTTATTGTAGAGATGGGGTCTCACCAAGTTGCCCAGGCTTGTCTCGAACCCCTGGGCTCAGGCAATCCTCTCACTTCCGCCTCCCAAAGTGCTGGGATTACAGGCGTGAGCCACTGCGCCAGGCTAGACTCTCTATTTCAACCAGCTCGCCAGGGAATTCAGATGATGTCCTGACTTGGGAGCTAGCTCTTTGACACCCACGGCCCAGCCCACTTTGTACAGAAAGCACTGAGGCCCAGAGGGATGTAGGGGCTTGCCCATGAGGGGACAGCACCCCAGGTGCCTGAACTCACCACCTTGAGGTCCTCCCCTCTTCTGCAGGGCATGCAGTGGCCAGCAGGCCCCAGGAGGTCTGGGTCTCAGGGACACGAGCATCCTCAGTGCTGGGGCCAGCTCACCCTGAGGTCCTGCTCCATGCCTGCGGCTCTCCCTTCCTTCACTCCCTGAGGAGAGGAGCCCCTCCCTGTGCCACCCAGGAGCCAGGGAGGCCTCAGGTGGGGGGAGGGCGTTGACTCCCAGCCCACACCCACAGCCCCCACCTTCCTGTGCTCCTGCTTGTTCCCACCCCCTCCCATCTGGCTTCCGCCCTCTCTGCTACAGGAACTGCGCCTGCCAAGAGCCCTCCTCTTGGCCACATTGAGATCCGTCCCCCTCAACCTTCTTGGCTTGCCCGTGACACCAGTCTTCTCCACCCCCTGCAGCCACCACCCCAGGTCCCCCGCTCAGGCCCCCAGCTGGCTCCCCGCAGCTCCCTGGCCTCAGCCTGGCTCAGCGTGGCCCAGTGCCCTTGTTCTCATTCCAGCCCCCCGGGGGCTGGGTGTGAAGCCCTTTCACTCCAACACCCAATTATGTCTCCTCTTTTCTGTGGCGAGTTGGCAAGAGCCGGACACACCCAGAGATGTGTGGTCAGAGGGTCAATACAGGAGGGGGAGAGAAGCAGGAGTAAGCACTTTGGGGACTTGGGGAGACCGGGAAAGACCAGAGGTTCAGAGACCCTAGGGACTGCAGGTGCCTTTGACCCACAGTCTCAATTTGGGGCTACAGAATTCCTCGATGCCAGCCTCCTCTCCTTCCTCTTCCCTGCCCCTCTCTGAGCCTCTGCCTTGGGGTCCACTGCCCCTCCCCCCATCCAAACTGTTGCCAAATCTCATCACCACTTCCTCAACTGTAGCTCTCAAATCCGGTCCTTCCTCGCTCCACTGTTAAAACTGTTCTCTGGGCATTAGCAAGCTCTTGGCTTTCACAGCCCCCACCCTCCAAGCACGGAGCGTCTGCTAAAGTCATTCTCTTCTATTTCAAAAACCATGTTTCTCTCACCCCCCTACACCCCCCCCGCCCCGAACGGTTCATAGTTCTCTGCATCCATTTGGAATCTTAACGCAGCATCCCTGCCCCCCTTCCCTGACAGCGTCCTGCCCTTAACCTTGCCTCTTTCCAGCTCATGGCCCTGGCACTAATCAGATCAGCTTCTGGGCTGTGTGACCTTGGACAGCTCCAAGCACCTCTCTGGCTCTTCTTTTTTTTTTAAATCGGTAAAACATGGAACTTGAGATTGGCGATCTTTAAAATCCCATCCTCATCTGATATTTATGAATCAGCAAGCTCCGGGATGTACCTCATCCATTCAACCAAGCTGTACTGAGTATCTATGCTGTGCCAGGCACCCCCACCCACGGCGCTTACCAGTCTAGGGTGGGTATCATCATCATCACCCACGTCAGCAGGTAACTTACTGAGCTCTTACTGTGTGCCAAGCTCTGTGCTATACAGATCCTATATAGTAACTTCATCACCACAGCCCTACGGGGTGGATACTATTATTAGCTCCATTTCAGGGATTAGGAGAGGGCGGCTCAGAGAAGGGAAGTGACTTGCCTAGGGCCCAACAGCAAATGCACAGTGCAATGTGGATGTAAACTCAGAGACAGGGCTCTGAACACCTGCACTCCGACAGGCCTGAGCCGAGTCTAGGCCATGTGCCTTACTAGCTGGGCAACCTTGGACTGGTGCTTTAACTTTGCCCAGCCTCAACATCATGCTAGACGTCGGTCAGAAGCTACCATTCATTGGATACTCTGTCGCAAGCATTGGGCTCTGCCTAGCTGTAGCTCTGTTAATTCTCACAACCTCCCCACTTCCGGAGGTACCAGTTATCTCCATTTCACAGATGGGTCCATCGAGGCTCAGAGTGGTTAAGTAACTTGATCAAAGCCACGAAGTGAATTGGGGGTGGGGCTGGGATTCAAATTCGGGTCTGATTTTCCTAAGTGCAAAGACTGCCTTTGAAGCATGCAGGCCACTGTGGTGTTTAAAAGAGAAAACGGATATCTTTATCACCTGGCTACACTCAACAGGGATTCTGTTTTTGCTCACCCCTCAGTCCTTGGCACCTAGAACACTGTTAGGCATGTAGTAGGTGCTCAATAAGTGTGTGTTGATGGATGAACTCACCTGGCATGGTGCCTGGCATACAGCAGACAGCCCATGAGAACCTCCACCCCACCCCAGTTCGTTCTTTCTCTCTCTCTTTCTTTCTTTCTTCTTTCTTTCCTTTCTTTCTTTCTTAGTAGGGGTCTCATTCTGTCACCCAGGCTGGAGTGTAGTGGTGGGACCATGGCTCACCACAGCCTCAAACTCCTGGGCTCAGGTGATCTTTCTGCCTCAGCTTCCTAAGTAGCTGGGATTACAGGCATGTGCCACCACACCCAGCTAACTTCTTTATTTTTTGTAGAGACAGGGTCTCGCTATGTTGCCTAGGCTGGCCTTGAACTCCTGGGCTCAGGCGATCCTCCCAAAATGTTGGGATTATAGGCTTGAGCCACCATGCCCAGCCACCCCACCCCATTTCCACTTCCACCTTTCACATCCTGAAAAGCTGTAGTCCCTGAGTGAAGCTTCCTCCAAAACTCCTCTCCAGGGCAGGCCTGGCTCCATCTTGGTTGCACCTGCACCCTGTGGGTCTCACCCCAGCCCACATGTTTCCTCACCTCCCTGTGGTATCTCCCAGCCTAGATCTGCCAGGCAGGTCACAGTCAGAGGCTGTCTTTGTCCTTCTCCATAAGGGGCCAGATATGAAGATGTTTTCTTCCCACAATGCCTGGTACCACTCACACCAGGGACGTGCAGAATAAACACTGCCCGTTTCAGAGAACACCAGTGTCCACCTGAGATTCCCCTCTGCCCAGGCCTTTAGTGACCCCAGGTCTTGATTGCTGTTTTTGGCCCCAGAGTCAATGGAGAATCAAGTCATAATAACCTGATTTATTCAGCACTGAACTATGTGATTTATAGACACTAACTCTGTTTACAGCCATTCTGTGTGGAGAGTATTTTTTTTTTTTTTTTGAGTTGGAATCTCACTCTGTCACCCAGACTGGAGTGCGGTGGCCGCTCCCAGTAACCACAGCCTCGAACTGCTGGGCTCTGGCAATCCTTCCACCTCAGCCTTCCAAGTAGCTGGAATTACAGGCATGCGGTACCACACCCGGCTGATTTTTTGATTTATTGTAGAGATGAGGTCTCGCTGCCCAGGCGGGTCTCGAACCCACGGGCTCAGGCAATCCACTCACCTCAGCCTCCCAAAGGCGTGGGATTACAGGCTGAGCCACCGAGCCCGGCTGAGAGTATTATTTTATTTTACTTTTTAAATTGTATTATTTTTGAGTTGGAGTCTCACTCTGTCACCCAGGCTGGAGTGCAATGGTGCACTCACAGCCACCGCAGCCTCAACCTGCTGGGCTCAGGTTGAGACTAATCCTTCCGCCTCAGCCTTCCAAGGAGCTGGAACCACAGGCACGCGCCACCAAGCCTGGCTAATTTTTCTTGATTTATTGTAGAGATGAGGTCTCACCAAGTTGCCCAGGCTGGTCTTGAACCCGTGGGCTCAGGCAATCCTCTCACCTTAGCCTCCCAAAGTGCTGGGATTATAGGCATGAGCCACCGTGCCTGGCCCAGAATATTATTTTTATTATTCCCGGTTTACAGATGAGATAACTGAGGTTCAGAGAGGGAAAGCAACTTCCCTAAGGTTAGATAAGTCAGAAAATAGCAGAGCGGGGATTCAAACTCAGGCCCTCTGACTCTAGATTCCTCTTAAATAGCTAATAATATTTATAAGGAAGTCGGGATCTTAGTAGTAGCTGTAGTTCCCATAGTCACAGTAAAAGTAGTAGTAATAATAATTATTGTAGTGCCCATATCCCGAGAGTGTAGACTCGTGCTAAATGGCTTACATTTTAATGCCTACAGAATTTCTCAGATAAGGATTATTATTGATTGAGTGCTATCATTATTGACATTGTATAGATGAGGAAGTGTAGATTGAGATGTTAAGTAATTTATCCACAGCCACATAGGACCCAGGATTTGGATCTGGCAGATTCCAGAGCATGTGCTTTCCAAAATGAGCCCACTCAGGCATGGTGTGGTCACTCATACCTATAATCCCAGCACTTTGGGAGGTCAAGGCGGGAGGATCTCTTGAGCCCAGGAGTCTGAGACCACCCTGAGCAATATAGTGAAACCTCATCTTTATATTCAAAAAATCGGCCAGGCTCGGTGGCTCAGCCTGTAATCCCGCGCTTTGGGAGGCCGAGGTGAGTGGATTGCCCAAGCCACTGGGTTCGAGACCCGCCTGGGCAACTTGGTAAGACCTCATCTCTACAATAAATCCAAAATCAGCTGGGCATGGTAGCGTGCACCTGTAGTTCCGGCTACTCGGAAGGCTGAGGCGGAAGGATCGCCGGAGCCCAG